ATTCATCAATCTCTGTAAAGGCCAGCCAGTCATGGCAGAGTCCTGGCCTGTGTGCTCTCAGCGTTAATCTTCCGCAGCTCCGAATTACAGCCCTGCTTCGTGATGTCGCTCATTCAAACTGGTGCTCAGGGGAAAAAGAAAGACCTATAATGTCCCATTTCTGGCCTGCTACTAAAAAACAAGAACGTGACAGTGTACATGTGCTCTGCCACTTCAGTCTGGCCACTCAAACACATAGCCTTTACTTGAGGCCTCCTAAAAAGCAGGCACACTTAATGGACCATTTCAACTCTCCTTCCTCCAGGTCATCTCCAAATATACTATGTGGATGATAGGAGCTTTCATATCTCTCGGAAGGTAAAAATAGATAGAAAAGGTTGGTCACTGCTTACGGCAACAGATCTGACGGTTATCACTGGACCCTGCCCACCCTCGGGACCAAACCTACAGTGACAGGACAAAAGGGGGCCAACGATGTTTCCTCGTCAGAAGAAGGCACGTAAGGGCACTTAGTAAGTCAGCTACTCAGTGAGGAATTAAATGAGTCACTCACAAATTAGGCAAAGAATCAGTTACTGGTGAACAACAGCTCTAATGAAAATATAGAAATAATCTAATCAAAACTAACAGCATTTGTTGAGCAGAGTCATCTCATGAGCCTGGATTTTAACAGCAGTTTAAAGTACTGTGAGTGGTTGCATTTTCTCAGTGTCTTTAGTGTTTACTTGAGGTGTCTGAACTTCACCAATATATGTATCTTAAATGAATAGTTCAGCAAACTAATATGCATAATTTTCCCTACCCTAAGTGTAGTTAATCAGCCAAGACATGTTTGGTTTCCATTAGTTTGTTAGATTAGGCCTCAGATTGATCACAGGCCTACCCAACTCAAAAGGAAAGAATATTTATTAAGCTTCAATTTTTTTATAATGCAATTTGATTTTTGTTTCCTGTGAACTCTGTCACCGTATTATAGCTAATCATTACGCTCCACCTTCTTTTCTCAGCACTCCAATTACTGCTTAGTTGCTGATGCTATCTGTTGTTGCCCCAAGCCATCAGTCCATTAGCAGCGTGGCAGTGTTTGAATTTAAAGTGCTGGTTGCAGTTAAAAGGTGTTTTAAGGATGTTCAAAAGTGATGTTTTCTATCCATCCAAAGACTGTTTTCTAACTGTCGAAAGCTAGAAACAAATTTAAAAACATAATCATTGTTAGTTTTCTGTAGATTTGGAACCATGCTTTTTCACTACAAAGGCTGAAATTGGCTTTGTGAAAATGTCAAAACAAATATCTTCAATGTTACATCAATGGATTAAGTCATCAGAGGTAAGATATAAATGGATTACAAATATTTTCCTGCCCACCGTGGAAATATGTTTTTGCTGTTGATGATTAAGTTTAGGTTTTCAAGTATGCTATGTTATTTTTCCTTGTCTTTGCACATCTTAGCTGATGTTATCACAGTGCTGGACATTACTGCATTTGCAAACTGTCTAACAAGTTGGCCTATCTGCATTTTTATAGGCCTTCCCAAACATTTCTACCTACTCAGAAATCTGATATGTGGCTTTATATGCAGATATAGCATAAAGGGTGAGGCATATATTTCAAAATATATGTAAATACATTGTGCACAGATATGTATCAAAGTATCAAAGACAAATATGCATAATATATGGATAATACATATACAACCCCATTTCCAAAAACGTTGGGACTCTGTGAAAAATGTAAATAAAAACAAAATGCAATGATGTGCAAATCATGTAAACCCTATATTTTATTGAAAAATGCTTCAAAGACAACATATCAAATGTTGAAATGAATTTTATTGTTTTTTGATGCCAGCAACACATTCCAAAAAAGTTGGGACGGGGGCAACAAAAGGCTGGTAAAGTTGTGCAATGCTTAAAAAAACACCTGGTGGTTAATTGGCAACAGGTCATCAACATAATTGGGTATGAAAAAAATTCCAGAGAGGCTGAGTCTTTCAGAGGTAAAGATGTGAAAGACTGCACGATCAAATAATGCAACAATTCAAGAATAATGTTTCTCAACATAATATAGCAAAGAACTGCTTTTCATCATCTACGGTAAATAATATCATTAAAAGATGCAGAGAATCTGGAGTTCAGCACTGCATCCACAAATGCTAACTAAAACTCTTAAATGCAAAGAAGAAACCATATATAAACAGGACCCAGAAATGCTGCCACCTTCTCTAGGCCTGAGCTCATGTATAATGGACTGAGGTGAAGTGAAAAAGTGTCCTGTGGTCCGAATCAACATTTGAAATTCTTTTTGGAAATCATGGACACTGTGTCCTCTGGGCTAAAGACCACTCAGCTTGTTATTAGTGCTCAGTTCAAAAGCCAGTATTCATGATGGCATAGGGGTGCATTAGTGCACATGGCATGGGTGACATGCACATCTGAGAAGGCACCATTAACGATATATACATGTTTTGGCAACATATGCTGCCATCCAGGCGACATCTTTTTCAGGGATGGCCTTGTTTATTTCAGCAAGACAATGTCAAACCACATTCTGCACATATTACAACAGCATTGCTCCATCATAAAAAAGTCCAGGTGGTAAACTGGCCTGCCTGCAGTCCAGACCTGTCACCCTCTGAAAGCATTTGGCACATTATAAAATGAAAAATATGACAAAGGAAACACCAAACTGTTGAGCAGCTGAAATCCCATGTTAAGCAAAAATGGGAAAACATTTCACTTTCAAAACTACAGCAGTTGGTCTCCTCAGTTCCCAAACTCTTACAGATTGTTGTTAAAAGAAGAGGTGATAAAACACAGGGTTAAACATGCCCCCGTCCCAACTTTTTTGGAACGTGTTGTTGTCATCAAATTCAAAATGGGCATATATTTTTCAAAAAACAATAAAATTTCTCAGACAACAGAAATCATCACACACCAAGTTCTTAAGCAACTTGCTTATGTGGTTTCTGACACTATGACATGCTGAATCTTGTCTAGTCCTTTAAGTTACACTCCCTAAACAGTCTCTGTTAACAGTTTCATTGGCTGTAATTCATACACATAGATCTACACGCCTACATGCCTAGTTGATAAGCCAACTATATTACTTAAACCAATGTAACAATAGGAGCCAACAACATGTCTACCTTAGAAAAAGGCACATAAGCATGCTGAGTTAGTCAGCTACCCATTGAGAAAGAGAGTGAGTCACTTGCATTGTGAACACACTTACATCCAGACAACAATAGCTGTAGTGAAAACAAATAAATAACACATTTGCCGTGGCTGTCCTTTTAAAACTGCAAGTCCCTGCTTTTACTCAGCAGTCAGTCGCCTTGAGTGGATATACTCAGTGGGTCGCTTTGAGGTGCCTGTCCTGCATTAGTCAATATGCATTTTAATCTAGACTCCATGAACAGTCTCTCTTAAGAGTTTCATTTGATGAACTTCATATACATGCACCTACATGCCAGCAATCACTAATATCAATATCTGTGAAAGCTCCTTCTTCCCTATTACTAGTAGGTAATCACTAGCTGGAAATGGGAATCAATCCATCACATAGAGATCTCATCTCAGCAGGACAAGTGCAGCCCCCACTCCCCCGTCTTCCTCTCCTCGCTTGATGGAAATGCTGCCTGCTATGATTCATCGCTGCTGACCCTTCCAGCTGAACAGCTTCCCCTGACGTCCCCATCTGCTATTATATACTTCAGCCTAGTGAAGACTTCAGAGGAATAGACAGGGGAAGGAGCTATTAAAGTTTGGGAGTTATTTAGAAGGTATTAAAGCTGCCAGAGAAATGGGAAATGAATGCAAGGGTACAAGCAGCGTACCACGGATGCGGAATTATCATAAGATATCTGGTATGACAAACAGCTGCAGTTCTATAAAAAAGATTTTCCGTTTCCATATTAGTATGAATAAATGAAATCTATGAAATCCATGAGTCAGTTATTTAAATGAGTGAGACATAGGTGCCATTTGTTATGATAATTTGCTTATGAGATAGATGCACTGTCAAATAATACAGATCAACTAAAGGCCTCTGAAATGAACTACTTTTCAGGTCTGTGTGCAAACAATTTGGGGGGATTGAGCTCAAGAAAAAAGGGGAAAGCATATTTCAAGCACTCTTATCAAGAAAGACAATTTAATAACGTTTCAGAGAAAACCAAGCGTTGTGTTTTCCTAAGGCAATCAGAAATACTAGTGCTACTACCTAAGCAATCTCTAGCATACAAGGATGCAAAGTTAACCACAATAACGAAAGCTTGGTTTAGAAAGTTGTTACTGCTTATTACTGATGACATTATGTTTGGTTGTTTATCAAAATAATCACATTGTTAAAAAGATAAAAGATTATGAGTGTTTTATTGGCAGGATTTCCAGTGCTGTAATGATGCCTGCATTCATGATAGGTCAGAGTTGCCAAGGTGAAATCTCCACAGGTGGACTGTACTGCACCACAGGCGGGCACTCAAGAGCAATGAAGCTTGTGGAACCCAAGTCTACCCACAAACTCCATTCCCAGTGCAAGGTTGAGTTGATTCTTACAGAAACAGATCTTGAAAAACGACCATACACAACACAATTATCATACGTGATGACCAAGAGGACACTTGTACAGTATACCCGCAAAGGGCAATGACTCAAGCCCCCGACTGGAGTCTATCTGTGCACATGTCTGCTAATGTTCATAATGCTTGTTTTCTGTTATGTATTGCTTAAATAATAATGAATCCACCATCTCTTCTTGTCAACCGTATTCCCAATTTGTCTGACTGATTCCCCTGAGGCAATGTGATTACCCCTTCTCCCGTTACCATCTCAGGGTTAAATGCTGTATATGAGGAGAGGAGAGAGCATCAGTCAGAGCTGCACTCGCAGATACCTCACTGTTTTTTTATTGTTGTTATTGGGGGGAGCTGCAAGGGAGGGGCACTTAGATTTAAGAGACTGATGCTGAGAGATTGGGCTGGGAGCCCAGCCGTGATCAGCGCTCTCTCTCTCTCTCTCTTCCTCTCTCTCCCTCTCTCTCTCTGTGATGCAGGCAGTTCAGGAGGAGAGGAAGGAGGAGCGAGTGAGCTTTGGAGCAGCCCAGCTGAGCCTCGCTGCTCTCAGTCTCTCTTCAGTGTGTGACTGAGCAGCTTCTTCTCACTCTTGCTCTCGCACACGCGCACACACATTAACTAAGACACCACAACAACAGGGAAGCACACTTGCTTATTCTTTGCAGGCGGAAGGGGCGCCAAGTCCCTTGCACTTCTTTTTTGGACCATGCTGCCCTGGAAGAGGAGCAAGTTTGTGCTGGCTGAAGATGATTCCAAAGGCAAGACCAAAAGCCTAAACGCAGGACTTGCCTATCAATCGCTACTTTCCTCAATTCTGCGCTCCTGCCCGGACCTTGTACCGGACTGTCCCTTCCACTGGTTGGCAGGTGTTTTCCAAAGCAAGCGTCAGAAGGTGGAGCTGAACAGGGAAGAGCCCACCTACAGCGTGCGCTACCTGGGCAGTGCGGTGACTGCTGTGGCCAAAGGTGAAGGTTGCACCCAGGAAGCCGTAGCCAGGATCTGGGTGTCCAGTGAATATGGGGAGCGGAGCGTTAAAATGAAGCTCAGCGTGGGACCCCATGGCATCCGCATGGGAGCGGATAAGGGGGGCCGTGGGAAGCCCACTCACCTCTACTCGCTCAATCGCATCACCTACTGCACTGCTGACCCTTGCCGACCCAAGATCTTTGCCTGGATCTACCGGCACCAAGTCAAGCACAAAGCCGTGGTGCTTCGGTGCCATGCTGTGTTGCTGGCCAAGGCCGAGAAGGCCCGGTCCCTGGCTCTCAGCCTCTACCAGAACTCCATCTCAGCCTTCAGCGAGTTCAAGAGGCTCAAAAGGCAGAGCGACTTCCGGCACTGCCAGCAGCAGCTCCTTGGGGAGGATATGGTACCCCTCATGCCCCTCAGGAGGCTCTTGAATGGACAATGCCACTATCGGCCGCCCGTTGAAAGACCAGGAAATGCCACCCGATTGTCATCCATCACCGAGGAGGAGGAGGAGGAGGAGGAAGAAGAGAAAGCCAAAAAAGAGGAGAATCCCAAGTCAAATGTCGACCCAGAGCAACCTCCCGAGAGAGAGTTGGGATACATAGTTCATGGACTGGACGAGTTTTCAATCACCGTCAGAGACGACGTACACATGACGGTCAGCACCCTGGTCTGACACCACATGGATAATGGACAATGTCCACTTTGCTCAGACTCTCTCCCCTTTCCTCTCCTCCCTCTTGCGAGCCTTCTCTTCTTGGACCTCTCCCCATCCCCCAGTTGTTGGGTTCAGGAGTACAAACTGGTCCCCTCCAGTCAGCAGCTTTTAATGCTGTGTGCTGAGAAACTGCCAACTCGTCCTGCAATCGCTTTCAGGCTGGGTGTTTAATAAAGAGGGACTTCGACTGCGAGAACAGATACAAAAGCACAATGACAGAGGCTGCAAAGCAATCCATCGGAAGCGAGAACAAACACAGAGGAAGCTTTTTTTCCTTCCCTCGAACAAGGCTTAGTGCGCACACCAAAAAGAGGAAGAAGCAGACTTTTTACCCTGCGCCTACAAAACCTTTTTACCCTTTTCCTACAAACACAAGATGAACTTTTCTGAGATTTTGTTGGACTGGACAACTTGGAAAGAGAGCGTTTGTATAATATGTACATTTTTCTATGTCCCAACAGTCCTTAACATAAGTACCTTTCCTTACCTTCTGGTCAGAACCTCTGTGACTGCACTCTACAGGGAGACTAGGGCAGGCCTGCTAGCAATGGGCACTAATGAATTAACCCATGATTTAGGATATCAGCCATTGACTTGACGGCTTTACTGCTGCCGTTCGCTACAGCCCTGCTCGCCACTTCCCATATGAACAGCAAAAACGTCACCCGTGGCATTTAAGACAGGGCTTTTTAAAAGCTTTCCAACCCTACAGACTCTGGTTTGCACTGTGACACGTCTGGGACCAATATGAGGAAAATATGAGAATAGTCTACATTTCTATATCACACATTTCTATATGACAGAAAAGTCTGGGCTTGATCTGTGATAAGGTAAATAAGCTCTACTGCTTTAAGAGGTAATGCATTCCATGTTGTTCATTGTATGCTAATGCCAGCATACAAACCCTCTCATCTCATTGTCTATGTTTTGGACATTGTTTTTACAGACCTAATAGTTGCTTTGTGGTAATGTACTACATGTTTGCAGTTTAAAATAGTTTCATGATCTTTGTCATGTCAACTGCACTTAATAATACATTGTTATATAAAAATAAAAGAAAATGTTGCACTTTTCTCAGTAAAATAAAGGTGTTCTTTTATAGAGGATGTTGCCAGTTGCTTTTTTCATTTCTGAATATGTGGAGTGGTGTGTGTGTGTGTGTGTGTGTGTGTGTGTGTGTGTTTGTTTTTAAGCATGTTTAGAATTTCACCAAAGAAAAATGCGTATCTCCAAAATACTAGCTTTACTGAAGAAGGCAAAAATGTTATTTACTTTTAATTTAAGTTTATGTAAAGAAGTTTTATTCCAAGTGATTTTGGAGCATTTCTATTGGTCCATTCATCAAGAAATTTTCACATAAGTGAAATGTGAAACACAGTGAACATGTTTAAATGGTATAGAAACAACAATAGAGATATGTTTTTTTGGACAGCAGCGATATGGGACATATTAATATTAAATATATATATATATACCTACATATATACATATATACTTTTGTATGCAAAATGCAAAAATGAACTCACTTCTGCATGATTTAATGCACATTTACTGTTTGCTGAATTTAACATACTAACATACAAAAATCAAAACAGAATTTGGTCACATTCATATAGAACATGTTACTATTATATTTGGGGTACAACTTTAAAATAAGGGTACCTTTATAAAACATTCATGAATGGTTTAAAATGTATTTATTAATCGTTATTTATTTGGTCATAAAGACCTTTTAATCATTAGTAAACATTTACAACACATACATAAAAAGGGCAACAGTGACCTTTTATTTGCCTTAAGGAAAACCACAATCTTTATAGAGTTAAACCTCATATTTTGATGTTTACTGTTCTTTTTCATCAGTCAGCATGAAACTGTCAGCTTCCATCAGATTTAACAGCTCACTTCTGCCATTTTTATTAATGCGTAATAACCGCTTATTATGATTAATGAAGTGGATGACCAAAGTAATGACCAAACTAATCACCATTAACAAACTATGTTTTAACTATTCATAAACACTTTATAAAGGTAGTCTTATTTTAAAGTGGTACCACACATAGATATATATACATGTATCACCACTTACATATATACATGTGTATATATCTACATAATATCCACATCTCTCTCTCTCTCTCTCTCTCTCTCTCTATATATATATATATATATATATATATATATATATATATATATATGGGCCATATGGCATATAAATGACACCCCACATTCTAGCAACATATAAAAACAAATGTGTTTGCACAGTCCAAATAGTCCAAAGAAAAAAAGGCAGAAAAAAAGATTTTTCCAGAAGCAGCTGTGCTTTTCAGGCGATGTTTCACAGCCCCGTGTCACCGGCTCAAAAGATGAACAGTTTCTGCACAAATGGCAATGCAGATTGACACAGGCTGTGAGTGGGCTCTGGAGAGAGAAGCAGAAACCTCTCCTCTGCTGCCCCCTTCTCCTCTGAACCAGGCCATTAATCAGCCGGTTGAAATGTACAGGAAACGACCATAAACCACCTGCCCTGGCCTTCTAGCTCGAGGTGAAATCAGCCGCTGCTGCTTCACTGAGCATGTTCTCTTACAGCCACCACATCAAGAGCTTTAATTAACAAAACAACAAACTCTATAATGAAGCAAGAAGCGTTCAGTCACAACAACACACTGTTTTAAATGTACACTGCTCAGCGCCGTCTCTGTGAGCTAGGTTTACTTTAGAAAGGCTTTAATGTTAATATTCTAAATGATATGTAATTTTTTAGTATGCATGTCTGGCAGAGCGTGAAGGCCAGTGTGTTACAATGAGGTTTAAATTATTTAGATGAATTAGTCTTTGGGGAGCACATGGGCATCCAGCAGTACACTTCACAAATAATCACCTTGTGAAAACTCTACCTTTGAAAACTGAGGCATTCTGAGCAGAGAAATGAGTGTGAATGCACCATGATTAGAAAATAAAGCATCGCTGAGAGTTACCATTAAATTAAAGGCAATTAAACTGTCAAAATAAGTGGTTAAAAGAAATGTGATGACATTTTCAGCATTTCTTTACTGTTATGTACACATAAGAAATAAAAAAGTCCAGATACAAAAAACAAATGGGGAAAAGGTAGCAGCCCAACTTACATGCAAGCAAAGTATTATCAATTTTCCTCTTCACAGGGTGAGACACCACAAGTACCTCAGCAACAAACAATATAAACAATGTGATGGTGTTTTCAGGTGGTGTCACACATTCTGAGTGATATAGGAGTGATTTGTCTAACCAAAATATTGAAAAAAGTTAAAAATGTTTGTCCTTTGTTCTCTACATACATACAGTTGTATGCAAATGTTTGAACGTTCCTGGTCAAATTACACATTTTGTTGATTTTCTAAGTAAAAATTATACCTCAACACGCAACGAACTTAAATATTTTAGTGCTGAATTTCTATTACTTTGCTGAATTTAACACATCTTGAAACATAATGGGAAAAATAAATAAAACATGCAATACAAAATGTACCATAACTTTTGCACAGACCATATTTTATGTTTTATTTTTCCCTCTAATATATTCAATTCAGCAAATAATCAGTTTTTTGTGTATTAAACATGTGCAGAAGTGTTTTCTGTAGAGAGCGTAATTGTAGTCACAATAAAAATATGTAATTTGAACAGGGCGCCCAAATTTTTGCATATGACTGCATATCTGAGACTGTCAGAGATATAGCTTTTTAAAAAGCTGCAGTCAGATCCATAAGTATTTGGACAGTGACAGTTTTTGTCATTTTGATTTGAAATGAAGCAGTCAAGATGTGGTTGAAGTGTAGACTTTCAGCTTTAATTCAAGGGGTTTAACAAAAACATTGTATTAACCTTTTAGGAATTACAACCATTCTTTACATAGTCCCTCCATTTTCACAGGCTCAAAGGTTATTGGACAGTTGACTCATAAGCAGTTTCATGGCCAGGTGTGGCCTGTTCCCATTCTTGTAATTGAATGACAAATTAAGGAGATGAAAGGTCTGTAGATGATTCCAAGTGTTTAATATGCATTTGGTAGCTCAATATGTGGTCCAAAACAGTGTTGAAAGTGAAAGGGGGCATCGTTAGGCTAAAAAAAAACAAAACAAACCTCTCAGAGAGATAGCAGAAACTTTAGGAGTGGCCAAATCAACAATTTGGTACATTCCTAAAAAGAAGAATGTATGGCAACACCAAAAGGCCTGGAAGACCATGGAAGGCAGTTACAGTGATGATTGCAGCATTCTTTCCATGGTGAAGAAAAAACCCTTTACAGCATCTAATCAAGTCAAGGACATTCTAGAGGATGTTGGCCTATCATTGTTAAAGTCTACAATCAAGAGACGCCTGCATGAATGTAAATACAGAGGGTTTACCTCAAAATACAAACAAGTGGTAACACTCAAGAACACAAAGTCCACATCATCTGTTAAACATGGTGGAGGTAGTGTTATGGCATGGGCATGTATAGCTGCCAATGGAACTGGGTCACTGTTGTTTACTGATGATGTGACTGCTGGCAGAAGTAGAAAGGTGAAGTAGCATTCTCAAATGTATAGAGTTATACCTTTCTGCTCAGATTCAGTCAAATGCTGCAAAACTGCACTTCACAGTACAAATGGATAATGACCCAAAACATCCTGCAAAGCAACCCAAGAGCTTCCTAAGGCAAAGAAATGGAATGTTACTTAAATGGCCGAGTCAATCACCTGATCTCAACCCAACTGAGCATGCTGTTTTCTTACTGAAGACAAACCTGAAGACAGAGAGGCCCAACAAACAATCAGCAACTGAAGGCAGCTGCAGTAAAGGCTTGGCAAAGCATCTCAAGGGAGGAATCTCAGCATTTGGTCCATGGGTCCCAGACTTTAGGCAGTCACTGGCAACAAGGCTTTGCATCCAAGTATTAAAAATAACCCTTGTATTATGTTAGTTTGTCCAATGATTTTTGAGCCCGTGAAATATTTTTGTTAAACCCCTTAAATTAAAGCTGAACATCTACACTTCATCTTCATGCGTTCTTTTAAAATCCACTGTGGTGGTGTACAGAGGCAAAATGACAAAAACTGTGTCACTGTCCAAATACATCTGGACCTGATTGTATCTTGCAACTGTTCATTATGAAATAGCTAAGGCAAGGCACAAGGTTCAGCCATGGGAACGTTCAAGGCTTTGTCTGTTTTTTAAATAAGCAAAACTTTTAAGAAATACTAAATCAAAAACATTCAGATGGACATGATGTTCTTTCTGAGCTTGAAGACTCATGTAGCGCCTGCGATCATGACTGACATTGCTCTGCACGGAACATGCAGTCTCATATAAACATGAGCAATTAGCTGAGGAGCCACATCAGACAGAAACGTGTGTACTGAAGAGTATGCACTGCCAAACAGAAGATGAGGTCCAGATGGCAGTGGCAAGGTACACCGGAGAAGGAAAAAGCATCTTTCATCACTGCTGGCCATGTGCTGAGCAGACAAGTGTTTGATGCTAAACCCCTGTGGGGGGATCCACAGACTACATCTGAATTGAATCATACCGCACATGGCATATAGCCGCGGGGGACACAGCGGGATAATGGCAGTGTAAAAAGTGTGAGTTGTGACATTTCCTATGTGATGTGAGATGTTGCTAGTCTTGTTGTCGGCTGAAGACGAAGGGGCCATTTGCCTTTCAGAACATGCCATGGTGGAACAGTGTAGCTGCCAGAAACCTCTTCTTGGAGACAGATTGGAGGAGGGGGGGTGTAAGAGTGTCTTTGTCCCCAGCCAACGTGTCTATGTGAGCTCCTGTCACCATCAGAGCACAGTAGCAGCAGACAGAGAGGTGAAACGGCACTGGAGAAAGGTTTTAGCGAAAGCACTAATGAGCTCTCCTGGAAGCTGAGCAGAGAACGAGGTGTGCTAGGGGCAGGACATACCCAATCAATGCTAGCCTAGCATAGAGAGCACAGACAGTGTTTCAGGTGTGTGTCTGCGACTGTGTGGAAGACTCAGTTCCATTTGTATTCTACAGTAGCACTCGGCTGTTCATGCTTCTTGTGCCTTTCTGCTGGATACAACGTTATTATCCTCAACCTACACGCTGTTCCA